GGGCGCCCGGAGCAAAGAGTGGCCTTTCACTGCTACTGGACAAAGATACTGGGATTGCAGCCCAGCCCCTCAGAGGCCTCTGGGCCTCCCGGCAAAAGGGACAGGTCAAAACCAGGAGCCGGGCCTCGCCTCCCCTTGTTTCCTAGCCTTCCTCGGTTGCTTGCGCCGCCAGGCAGCTGGCCCCAGTGGGAGCGAAGCCCAGCAGGTTCCCGCTCTAAAAGCCGGCCAGAGGTAAAACCGGGGTTCTGTCCTCCTCCACCCCAGTCCGGCCCGGCCCCCACCCAGACACTCTCCCCCACGCTCCCCTGTCCCAGAGAAGAAGGTGCAAGGAGCTGACCCGCAATAAATAGAAAAGAATCAATATATTTTATTTGGCAAAAAGTTAAATATCTCAACACAACAATTTGGTCAGTAGGCCTTGAGGTAACTATTGCAAAATATACAGTGTATGTTGAGCCCGATGGAGACCCCAGATTCATCAAGGATACAAATCTACAGTAGCCCAATGGCGGTTTCATAGTGTATAATTTATTATCAATAAAATTAACTCCATTACAATAAGCATTCATTTCCCCCCCGACTAAAATTAAATGTAAACCATAGGTAGTAACCTTCTGCACATATGTATAGCTCCGAATTTCCTCCATGTTCATCCGGTGCAAGAACAATATGCAAGCTTGTCTGATTAATTTTTCTTTAATATGTGGATTATATATACAATGGATAAGACAGGTCTATAGAGTATGTAGAGACTAAAATGCCCGCATTTCAAAAGAGGAGAAAACCCATGAATCTGTGCATCCTGGAGAACACTTTTTCTTTCTTTTAAAATTTTATTTCACTGGGAAATCCTTACAGCTAGCTTACAATCAAAGGTTAACAGCCTAGTTATACAGAAGACATATTTCACTACCGAGAGCTATACTCTATGCAACTGTTTTTCTCCCTCATCAACAACCTGAGTTGAAATTGAATTTTCTAGCTTTCACAATCACAACGGGTGCGTCACCCAGCACAGAAGTTTGAGTCACAAAACATAATCACCACAATAAAACACAGTGTTCAAGTATCTGGGCAGATCACTCTGCCGCACAAAGAGCAAATTAAATTAACTACACAGACTAAAAACTATACAGCTCGCCATCAACAGTTGTGCATTACAAAAAGGTAGTTTTTTTTTTGTTTGTTTGTTTGTTTGAAGTCAGGAACAGGTAGATTTTTAAAAATATATATACAAGCTAGCACACACAGCCATCAGCACTAATGCTCTCCCCCCCCCCCACACACACCTTTTTTTCCTCTTACAGAAAATGGAAAGTTTACAATACCTCCTCCTTGAAAGGGCAGGCTGAGGAACCAGCCTGAGCCGGGTCTGCCAGGGGGAGGTGAGGCCTGGAGTTTAGAGCCGCTTTGTGCGGGGTGGTGGAGGCTGGGGTGGGATGGGGGTGGGAGAAGGGGACGACGGGCAGTCCTTTCTCTTTCTCTCTAGCTCGCGCTCTCTTTTCTAAATGAACTCCAGTCGAATCACTCGTCTTTTGCTC